AGGTTCAGTGAAAAGCGAGAAATCATAAGAGAGGAAAACAAATATCCACGTCTTTCCAGGAAAGTAAATAGGTTTCTTGCTTCAAAACTGTTCTCTGATAACGACAAAACAGGAATGGATAATTATTAAAAACGACTTATTTTGTTTACTTATATATTGCTTACCTGAAAAAAAACATTAACTAGCCTAAATCAGCCCATCAATAAAGTGGCAAGATCATACATTAATAAGGATGAAAAAATAGATGTCTGATGATATCAATGGCATCAGTCACTTAAATCTCATTCGCAATTTGTCAGAAACAATAGTTCTAATCCATAAAAATATATATATTATTTGCCATACTATGATCTTACTAGGCCTAAAAAATTAAGTAGGCCTAAACAAATATTCACTCCAATCCCAATCTTGAAGAAACCTGTTCTTTGGGAAATGTCCAACAGCCAAAAATGACCAATGGCCAATGTGTCGCAAATAAACAAGAAAAATAAATTCAGTCTCGACTTCTGCCTGACCTTCATCTTGACAGTCACTTTTGGAATGACTGAGGTGAAAATCTTTTGAGTTCTGGCTTTGAATTTTTATTTTCTAGCCCTGAGCCCAAGATTTTTCCAATGATCTCATTCTCTCCCTTTCTCTCTCTTCTCTCTTTTCTAATCTCTTCTATATTTCTTTCTCTTTTTTCCTCACTCCTCACTCACTCTTTCTCTCTCTCCTTCTTCTCTTTCTTTTCACACGCTCTTTCTTGCCCTTTTTTCTTCCACTCTTTATTTTGTCTTTTCCTCACTCTCTTTTATCCTTTTCTTGTTTCTGTCTTTTTCTATTTTCTCCCCTTCGTTTCTTTTCTCAAAATGGTTATCGCTTCAGATCAGACCATAACTGCGAAGTTAACATATATAGGTATTTACCAATGCTATAACAACAATGAAAATTATGAAAGCCGTTCTTATCGATGACATTAATCGTTACCATCACTGTCGTCATCCTTATCCATTATCAAATTCAGCAAACGAACGACTAACAGAAGGCTGCGATATATAATAACATCAGAAACAATAATCATATCAAGACGAACGACAGCAGGAGCAGAATAAGCAAGCATCATTTGGCCCTCAGAAACAACATCCGACCCTGCAACACCACTCACCCTCCGGCAACACCACCCAGCCTACCGTTACACACTCAGCCGACTTCCAGTCGCTAGTCCAAGAGGTAGCAGCGATAAGGGTTATCGCCGGGTCAGTAATCTCTCGCGCGCCCTCGTAATCCGCCGCGGGAGGGCCGTCGTTATCGCCCTGCGCGGACCCATCACGCCCTCCGGAACGAGACGCTTAAACCTAAGTCTATCAACCGTAAGTCGGAAAGAAGGCCTCTTTTATCCGGCCGTCTACGAGCGCGCCCGGCCCTTTTTATCATCCCGAAGAGCTGATCGGCTCCCGGAAATTACAAATTACCCCACGCTTTCTCCCCTTGTTTTCTTTTTCTTATTTCTTTAGAGTCTCCTCGTTTCCTCTCTTTTCTCGGACTCCCTAAACATGATGGCGGAGGCATATCTCGACGTTAATGCCCGCCCTGCATCGCCGATTACCATGTAAAGCACATGTAAACACACTCGCGGAGATCCTTGTGCTAGAACAACTTTCTCGCCTTCCCCTTGCCTCCTCTTCGCTGACTCGGGCAAGTGGACATGTATGTGAATAAATATACAACCATGAATATATGTATACATGTATACCGTAGAGGCTCCACAATTTAGGTGGCTGTTTACTTATCTATCTATTTATCCATTTACTTATTTATTATCTATTTATTCATTTACTTATTTTTTTATCTATTTATCCATTTACTCATATATTTATCTGCTTATTCATTTACTTATTTACTTATCTGTTTATTCATTCATTTATTTCTTTATTAATCTATTTATTTGTGTGGGTGAGTACGTGCGTGAGTGTGTGCGTGCGTGTGTCTGTGTGTACGAGCGAGTGTTAGCGTGAGTGTGTGTGAGTGAGTGTGTGTAGAGAGGGGGAGGGGGGAGAAAGAGAGAGAGAGAGAGAGAGAGAGAGAGAGAGAGAGAGAGAGAGAGAGAGAGAGAGAGAGAGAGAGAGAGAGAGAGAGAGAGAGAGGGAGAGGGAGAGGAGGGAGAGGGAGGGAGAGGGAGAGGGAGGGAGAGAGAGGAGAAAGAGGGGAGAGAGAGAGAGAGAGAGAGAGAGACAGAGAGAGAGAGAGAGAGAGAGAGAGAGAGAGAGAGAGGAGAGAGGAGAGAGAGAGAGAGAGAGAGGGAGAGGGAGAGAGAGTTCTTACATGTTTTTTTATAGTCCTACCTAACATCCGTTTTCCTTTTCAACATACATTTCTCTGTATGACCCTACACATATTTTCCTCAAATAAAACACTGCGTTATTAAATCCCCTTACCATACACTGAATAATGAGAAAGACAGAAAATAAGCGGACTAATTTGACTTACGGAAAAATGCATTATTATTATAATTATTTTTTTTTATCATTATCGTCTCCTCTTTCCCCTTACTACTTTATCTTTCCCCTCCTCTATCCAATTACTTTTGCTACTGTTACTTTTACTGTCACTGCTACTGCAACTCTACTGCTATTGCTACTCCTGCTGCTGCTGCTTTTGCTACCACTGCTACTAATATTCGACTGCTATCGTTGCTGCTGCTGCTTTTACTACCACTGCTATTAATACTCTACTGCTATCGTTGCTGCTGTTGTTGCTATTGCTATCGCTGCCACTGTTACTGCTATTGCTACTGCTACTGTTTTTGCTACAGCTACTGCTACTCCACTATCATTGCTACTACTACTGCTACTGCTATCCTGCCGTTATTGTTACTGCTACTGCTATTACTGCTGCTACTGCTTTTATAACCACTGCTACTAATAATCTGCTATCGCTACTGCTGTTGCCACTGCTATAGCTACTACTACTCTACTGATATTATCATTGCTATTTATTTTCCCTTCCTTATACTTCAACCTTCTGTTTCTTGTTCCTCTTCTCCGCCCTCTCTTTTTCATTCTCTTTTCTTTTTCTCTCCCTTTAATTTTTCATTTCCTTTCCTTCTCCCCCTTCCCCCACCTACGGCAAAAAGTAAAAAAAAATGTTTAAAGCTTAGTTGAGCTCTTTCTCTTCCTTTTCTTTTTTACTTTTATTTTTTTTCCTTTTAATTGCCCCTTCCTTCTTCTTCTAGTTTTCCTTTCTCTTTTTTCTTCTCTTACTTCTTATCCTCCTAATTAAGGTGTTTCCGAGAGCTTAGCTAAGAGACCAATAAACATTCGCATGCAATGACCTCCCCCTAGCATCGCACAAAACAAACTAGAGCCATTCCCAGGTATTATAATTGTCATGGAAACCCTTAGGAGGAGCCACCGTGTTATTTGGGGGAAAATTAATCAAATTGCATAACGCCTTTTGACTGATCATCCTTGAGCAAAATATTGAGACAAGAAGGGAGGAGGAGGAGGAGGAGGAGGAGGAGAAGAAGAAGAAGAAGAAGAAGAAGAAGAAGGAGGAAGAGTAGGAGGAGGAGGAGGAGGAGGAGGAGGAGGAGGAGGGGGGGAAGGAGGAAATCAGGAGCGGATGTGCCATTTCTTATGAATCAGTGTCTTCCCCTTTTCTCTGGATCCAATTTCTTCTCGTGTTTTACGTTCTTTCTCGCCTTGATCCGTCTTGTATGTTTATCATTCCACTTAATTTCCCTTTGCCCCTCCTTCTCTCTTTGATTATTTCTGTCCCCTTTCCATCTTACTAAAACTCTTTCTGTCACGGTAATCATACTAAATTAACGTACCGTAAATATATATATATATATATATATATATATATATATATATATATATATATATATATATATATATATATCACTCACTGTATACGAAACTATGAACGCAAGTGATGTGAGGTGTAACTAATGATAATTACACGATAATTACCCGTGTTTATCGTCGTTGTCTAGGTAAATATTATTTTCACAGCACCAGACTTTCTTGTCAAAAGAAAATACGGCGGTGGACACGGACTTGTGCTTTAGACCTTTCTGTCACCTCATTCATAAATTCCAGGGATTTTAGAGGTATAATAATAATAAATATAAAAGCGCTAAAATCAATAACTCTGGAATTATATCAATGGGCGAACTTTGGGAAATAAGGAAAACGTATACGTAAGTGCTGTGAAATAACGCCCAAGGAAGTGAATGTTCGTCAAGTGTGAAAGTGCCTTCGGACGTGTTTGGGTTAACCTGCGTGAGTGGGCGTGGTCGTGAGGGGCATCATTTATTTATTTATTGGGCGCACAGTGAACAATAAATGCATAAAGTCATGCGCTGTATACTGTATATCTTTCCGACTTGCGGAAACAATCGATAATAAAAACTATGAACAAATTACTAATACCTAGCGATGAACTACTTAAAAAATATATATATTTATAAGTAAGTAGACTTGGACCTAATCTTACAACCATGCTGATTATAAGGAGTAAAAATAAAATATAATCCATAGTAATAAAATAGGCCTAGCATATACTCGGAATAAATATGATTTCCTAATAAAAGTGTAACACCCTTTTCTCTATTCGATTTTTATGCAATGTTAAGTTTTATCTTCTTACTCATTACTGCTACCTCCCTATTCGTTTTTCATCGACTTCACACAGGATACAGCAAGGCATTAAGAGTTCATTATTCAAAAATATCATAAATCTTCATTAGTATCACACACACGCACACACATATCGTATCCTTCTCCTTACTTCTATCACATCCCTCTTCCCTTCACCTCCTCTTTTACTCTTCCTCCAACTCCCTTTAATCCCTCTTTTCTCTCACTCCCATTCTAACTCCCCCTCCATTTTTTCGTTTTCCTGCTCCCCATCCTCATTCTCTCACTTCGGCCATTTCCTCTCGTAATCTCTGACCTCCCCCCCTTCCCTCCATTCTCTCACTTTCCCCAATTCGTTCCTTCATTCTCTTTCTT